TCATCTTCAACTTCGCATTTGTTATGAGTATAGAAGATGGCTCAGTGGTAAGAGCGCGAATTTACTGACCGCAAGGTCCGTGGTTCAAACCCCCTCTTGACTTCCCCTGTTTAGACTTGGGCAACCTGGCAGTATCCCGGTTCTCATGCTTCCTTCGGGTGGCATGGCATTTAGGCATCGGAAGGGTGATACAACTGAACAATTCGATAGAAGGTTCACCACTAGCTTCTAACGCCCGTGAGATCAAAGTGCACCCGGGCATCCGCTTACAGATATCGAGTATGCAGACGATATAGCTTTTCTTGGATTTGACGCCGTGGTAATGCGAACAATATCAAGTAATCTAAATAATTCTGCCCCACAATTTGGCGTGCGCTTTAAGTCCGCAGAGTGTAAAGTGATACTACAAGACTTGGGCTCGAACCCCAAACTCATATCTGCTGATCGAGGTAGTAGACAAGTTTGCCTATTTGGGTAGCTGTCTCAGTCCCGGTGGTCTCATGAAAGATGATATTTTATCCGGATTGGGAAGGCTAGAGCAGTTTTTGTGAAGAATAAAGAACGCCTCGACCGGTGGGCCGAATACTTCGGACAACCATTGTCGTGGCCACCCGCTGCTACTCATCTGGAGCCTACAGTTGACGTAGAACCCTGGACGGTGAACGTGGAACCATCTACGGCCTCGGAGGTTTACGACTGCATATGTTCTCTCAAGCGCCACCGAGCTCCCGGTCCCGATGAGCTTCCACCCGCACTGTTCAAAGACGGGGGTGAAGTCTTCAGCCAGCGCTTGTCCGATCTGTTTGCTTGCACTTGGAAAAAGGAGTCTGCCCCAGACAAATGGGGAGAATCGGTGATAGTGCCCATTTTCAAAAAAGGGGCGCGTAATGAGTGTGGTAACCACAGAGGATCAGCTTGACTCCGGTTGTAACGAGACTGTTGGCGTCAGTTGTGCTTCGTCGCCCTACGGTGACTCGTGAGACACCGAATCGAGACCAGAAAGCGAAATTATGGCCTGAGAGAGAGAGAGCGTTGACCAAATCTTCACATTCCGTCAGACGCTAGAACAACGCCACACGTACCAGCGACCCACAATTCTAGTATTCCTGGATTTCCAAGGCGCATTTGATTCGGGTGACCGGTCTGCTCTTCTTGACAAGCTTGCCCACCAAGGAACGCCCCGGAAGTTTGTGAACACTATAAGCTCTTTGTATTCTCGGACTTCCGGACGTGAGTATACGGTGATCTCTCCAAAACCTTCCGTACATGAAGCGTGTCCATCAGGGATGCCCACTCTCTCCATTCCTTTTTAACTTCGTGATCGATGAAATCATGAGATGAACGCTTGAAGGTCTCGAAAACCCTGGTGTTCAAATAGCCTGTGACAAAAACCTTGTCGATCTTAAATATGCAGACGACATCATTTTCATCTTCGAAGAGAAGGCGCAGGTGTTTTTATTGACTGACCAAAGACCTTTGGTATGCACTTTGCACCCACGAAGTGAAAGGTCATGCTCGTCGACATCCAGTCACTGAACAGGCCACTTATAATCCATGGAGAGGTACTGGAAATTGTGGAGCGTTTTACGTATCTTGGAAGCTGTACTACTTCTGACTGTGGTGTAACAGGTGATGTCAATGCACGAATCTGCGTTGTGCTTCGTCGCCCTACGGTGACTCGTGAGACACCGAATCGAGACCAGAAAGCGAAATTATGGCCTGAGAGAGAGAGCGTTGACCAAATCTTCACATTCCGTCAGATGCTAGAACAACGCCACACGTACCAGCGACCCACAATTCTAGTATTCCTGGATTTCCAAGGCGCATTTGATTCGGGTGACCGGTCTGCTCTTCTTGACAAGCTTGCCCACCAAGGAACGCCCCGGAAGTTTGTGAACACTATAAGCTCTTTGTATTCTCGGACTTCCGGACGTGAGTATACGGTGATCTCTCCAAAACCTTCCGTACATGAAAGATTTTCACACTTCGTTGCTATGGGTTGATCGCCTCTGAATCGTCTTCATTCCACTGAGCTTGGCGAAGAGAGCCCTACGGGGACGAATTCCCCAGGCATACAACGCACACGGCTCAACCTATGGAGTGTGAAGAGATGATCTTTCGTGGAAGAGTTACATCCCCCGTACAACATTCGGCGCGTCTCTGTATTAGGTATAGGGTATCCTCACCTAACCGAGCAGTGGAACTGAGATGTCTTCAAGTGTTCGACAATCGTTGTCTCAGAACCGTGGCTCGTGTGGGTTGGTGTCGACGTATCCGTAAGGGGGCAATTAGAAAACGAGTTTTGAGTTGTGCACCGGGTACTTCCATTGAAGAATATGTCCAGCACCAGAAGCCGTGTTGGTTGGGACATGTGTTGCGTATGCCTAACCATCGTTTGCCCAAGAGAGTGTTGTTTTCCATACCCAAATCACAGTGGCGGAAGCAGAGAGGTGGCAAAACCTTGACCTGACAGAGAGGTATGAGGGAGATTACGAAACGTTTGGGTGCTATCGGTGCTACTCGCCTTCTAGGATGGGAACTGCATGATTCCCACTGCTCCCGGTTGGACACTTCAAGATATGGCTGCCAACCGATGTCAGTGGCGTTCTGGTTGTCAGTTTCTATCCAGATTGCCCGAGTGAGTGTTTGGAGGTGTAGGGGTCTCGAAATTATTGTAGTAAGCTTGCACTAAGTCCATTCACGATCTAACTTTATTCATTCCTTCACAATTAGGCTTTCAAATAAATCATGGTTGTACGGCAGTGACGCATCGGTGTTGAACACTAATGTCATACTGTCGACGATGATGAATTTGCATCGTCTGTGGCGGAGGCGTGACATCAACGTATCCGTCAAGGATCACATTTATAGTGCTGCGGTAGGCTCCATATTACTATACGGGTCAGATAACTGGCCGCTACGCGTTGAGGAACTGAAATATTTCCACTTTTGACCATCAATGTCTTCCGAGTCTGGCGGAACACCGGATCAGTCAAGGATCACATTTATAGTGCTGCGGTAGGCTCCATATTACTATACGGGTCAGATAACTGGCCGCTACGCGTTGAGGAACTGAAATATTTCCACTTTTGACCATCAATGTCTTCCGAGTCTGGCGGAAACACCGGATCAGCAATGCGGAAGTGCGTCGTATGGTTTTCGGAAGAGATAACTCGCCCACGATAGGTGAACCGATCGTATTTCACAGGTTAAGTTGAATTGACTACGTACTGCCTATGTTAATCGACCGATTCCTCAAAGGTTTTTTCGGACAAATATGTGAAGGGTGGAGACGAATCAGGGGAGGTCAAACAACGCATAGCTCCCTTCACAATCCCCGATGAAAAGAAAAGGGTTCCAATCACGTTCGACGATTTCCGTCAATAGTGGCGTTTAAGAGATATATTGTAGGGTCTCGAGGGGTGTGCACCAGGTCGGAGTAAGGGGTGTCGTATGCTGAGGCATGATCTTTGCGGACAGACGATCTGGAGCTTGTTCAAATGTTTGCACCACCGATAACTCAGAGTTCAGTTTGGACTCACAAGGATAAGCCAATGTGTGACGAGGTAAATAGAAAACGGGTATTTGGTCCTTCATCATGTATTTCAAATGCAGAGAAAACGTCCACCAGCCGCGGTGGCTTTGCCTTGTACAACCCATACCGGGATACTGGTTACCGGGATGAGCATTGTCTTCTGTAGAAAAAAAAGCGTTCAGCTGTAGCACCCTTCCGGTGCCTAGCTGCCATGCCACCCGAAGGAGGCACGAGGACCAGGATACAGCCAGGATGTTCACACCTAGACGGGGGGAGTCGAGAGGCGGAGGTCAGGTTCGAACGACGGACCTTCCCGTCAGTAAATTCGCGTTCTAACCACTGAGCCATCTCGCAGGCTAGTCGATTTCAGAGAAGCCGTGCTTTCAGTTTTCAGGTTGACTGGGAGTTTGGGGATGTAGGTACCTCAGCTTACTTGCAGTAGGTTGGTTCCAGATCCCTGGCACACCACTTATCTCCTTATGTCTTTGAACACAAGTAAAATTCTTGGCCGTACGGCAGTGACGTATCAGCGACAATTGTGTTGTTGTTTGAAGATGAGACCTTCTAAAAACCTGTGCCGGATCTCAAATATTTTAGTGGGTCTGGGAGGAAATTTGTTGGTCGGTGTACATGAAGAATTAAGTTGGAACCAGGGACCGCCTCTGGAACCACGACAGTGAAAGAGGGGAGCGAATATTTCGCCAGCCAACCATCCCGGCCAATCTTCGCAATACAGAGCGCGTTCCATTCAACGCGACGATTAGCAAAAGGTCCTTGAAGATCCGGAAACTTTCGCCATTCATCCCACGCGTACGATGGAGATGACCAGCAGCTCCTTCAGAATACGGCACCATCTTCGATGAGCGAAGTGTGACTTTCAAGTTTGTTCGAACCAATAGAAAAGAATAAAAATACCTGGCACTCTGAAGTGGAGAACAACGCAGAGGTATATGAGCGGTATATATGAGAGGTATATATGAGTCACCGGATTCGCACATTCACGAAGAATGAATAGGGTTGACGAGAGCGTCTTGGCTAGCTCCCCTTGACCGCACAAACGCACATTGATCTCAATAAACGCGCACCAATTTTGCTGTCATGCCTATAGCATGGAGCGCTGAAACAGGAAGGTCCTCAAATATCCAGCTTTCCCGCAGATTCCACGCTGTCCTCTTCTTTCGAAGGCTGCAAATAGTGATCGCGACACCGTGTTGTAAGGATTTCGGAACCCGATTTACACAGGGCTGAAACATCAATTAGATCCTGACATTTCGCCTGAAACCACCTATCACACAAAAAACCAAAGTGCGAAACAGCATGATATGTCAGCCAGCTATCCTTTGAATCAGTTTTCTTATTCATCATGGCGAGGCTTTCAACCACTAAGAGGTCAACAAAGGGATCATTTCGGATAGGAAGGAAAACGAACAATGACAACTGAACAATAAAAGTGGAGGAAACTCACCATCTTCTTTTGCCACAGGGTTTCGCACATTCCATACAACTGTTCGGTGGAGGTTCCAGCAACAACAAAATCTTCGGGCTCGCTAATACACCCTATATTGTCCGTTGAAGCGATGTACGGTGTGCCAGTGATATGATCTAAGCCAGCTACAACAGGCTCAACAAAATATGATCCAAACCTGGCGTGTTATGTGACTCACAAGTTACCTTCGTTCGTAAAGTAAATTGGCAAGTATGGTTGCTAGCGTCTTCGGTCTGATCGACTTGTTTTCCCGTAATTCATAAACGTTTTTTCGAAACTGAAGACGCTGAAAACTGTTTAAAAAAATCACACTTTGTTCGCAAGCGTACACTGTCTCGTTGTCCGTCATCAGTCCAGCAAAACCAACAAACAATCGAGGTCCTAGCTGGTGAACTTTAGGAAAATCGGTGCTAATTGTTTGTAGCTGAACTCCAAAGCGCAGATCCGAAGCAATCGCAACACAATTTTCTCCTGCCATTGCAACAACAGCAGAGCCATTGTACTGAAATATATTCTGCAACAACGGATATCTTATGATCACGAAATCAACAAACCATGACTAAGAAGCGAAACGCCAAAATTCACAGATGCCGCTACCAGGACGCTAAGGTCAGTTCGCGGCAGTGACGGATTGTGAGAAATCACGAATTCACGGATTGGCACACAGGATCGAGGTTTTTGCCCAATTTTCCCAGGTCGGTTTTGTTCTTGTCGCTCAGCGGCTGTCGTTCACCTCAAGGGCACAAGTGAAAAAGGGATGTAGCACTGCTCTTTATGTTCTCAGCGTGGGGCAGTATGCTTGCCAGCGCGAGGATTCGCATAAATAAATGTGTAGTAGTGCTTTGAACAGGTTTCTAGAAGGAGCATGGACAACCGTCGGAGGAGGGTCATTCCACACGGCTGCTATCCGAAATGAGAAAAAATGTGTGCGCTCTGGGCTTGAAAATCTCATTATGTCCTCACAGTATGTTTGCTGGGTCAACGGTGAAAAACCTGTTGGCCAAGCTTTGTTCAAGCAGGGCGTAAGCGAGAATTCGGTCCCCTTGGAGGTGACGGTACTCCAGGGGAAAGAGATCGAGCATCGCAAGACGCGTTTCGTAGTCCACGGATTTGAGGCCGGAAATCGTTCTCATGGTGGCTCGCTGGACACGCTCAATGAGGGTGACGTCTTTCGTGCGTCCTGAGCGGACAACTTGGTTGACGTATTCCAGGAGCGGTCCGACGTATGGGTCATAGAGTATTTGGAAGTCCATGCGAGTAACGGGGGAGAAGATGCATCGGATCACGCATAAAATGGTGAATGCCTTTTGGACCGATTTCTCATGGAGCGGTGGGAAGGACAAGTTTGAGGGGAGCTAGATGTCCAAATCCTTTTGGCGTCTATCCTCATGATGTTTTCTGGTCCCTTTTCACCATGCATAACAAAAGCATTCACTGGTTCTCCTCCAAATGATATCTGGCCGCAATTTACGTCATTCAGAGGAAGGTGCCACTCGAGCGACGATCTCTTTGCAGCGTCTACATCCATTTGGAGGGCACTGGCATTGGAACTCAAGGATTTCGAGTCCTCCGCAAAAAGTGGACGTGGACTTGCAAGAAGATCTGGAAGGCCGTTGACGTGGATCGGGATAGCAGTGGTGATCAGGAATAGCAGTGGTCCCAGAACGGAGCCTTGAAGAGCTCCAATGGAGACCAGCGCTGGAGAAGAGTAGGTCGAGCCTACTCTCACTCGGAATGATCTGTCTGATAGGAACGCCCTGACCCAGTGAAGGAGTTCCCTTGAACCCCGGAAAACTCAAGTTTGTGGAGCATCGGAATGTGTGGGACCCTATCAAACGCTTTTGAGAGGTCGAAAAATATGACGTCCGATACGAGTCTTTCGTCCTTGGCTTGGGTTAAGCTGTCCATAAACATGAACATGAGCGGTTTGGGAGAAATCAAGGTTGAGCTGGATATATCAGGCTGCTGAAAGTGAGATGATCTAGGATAGCTCGCTTCAGAATGCGTTCCATCACCTTGCACCACACGCTAGTGAGGCTCATAGGCCTGTAGCTGCCAAACGATATCGGTCACCAGTTCTGTAGATTGGCGTGACAATCACTTCCTTCCAAGCAGAGGGAAGGCGGCCTTCGTCAAGCGACTGACGAACCACCAGGTATAAATGATTTGCCAGTGTAGAAGACGTTTCATTCAAGATCTTTGGATGGACCCCGTAGGCCTCAACGCGCAGAATGGATTGATCTTGTACAAGAGTTGACGAATGTCCTCCACCGTAAAGACCAAGTCGGTAAGAGGCTGTTCGTAGTTCCACCTCGACAAGAGTGGATGTGACGAGGACGCTGGTGCTGAATATAGACACGCATATTGTTCTATGTAAACCTCAGATACCACTTATGGGCCGCTCGTGGTTTCTCCGTTCCTGTCCTCCAAGGAGAATTCGTAGGCTTGTTTCGGCGGCGATATTTCATGCATTTGTACGGTACGTTTTTTTTCGAGCGAACTCCAGGACGGTGGCTGGTTTTCGAATGTTCCATTGGCTGATTTCTGATTTGCGGCGCTTCCCCACTTTACGAAATGCCAGTGAATCTTCTGTATCTCATGCAGTCGAGTTTTCGAAAAAAGTCGGGACCTCTTTTCCAGAAGACGCCGAATCATTTAAGGCAGCTTGCGGCTCGCTGACTGTGTGCTGATCATTATGGGACGAACATCGCATCAGCCTCGTGAACTTTCTGGACAATGGTCCTATATAGTTCTTCCACTGGAGCTGGCCCCATTGTGACTTGTCCAATAAAGATGCGCATTCCTGAGAAGTCTGCACGGCAGAAGTCTCGAAACCACTTTTGTGGTTCAGGATTCCTGGCCCAATAGCAGATGAAATCAAAGGTCAGCACACAGTGGTCGCTATGTCTCAGTAGAGCGTTAATTATTACCTGATCGTCGAAGTGTCTTTTGAACGACTTCAAGCAGCGCCGTAGCAAAAAGCACACGTATCCGACGCGCTGGAGCTCCGTCCAGGTGCCCTTTGTAACGTTGAAGTCACCTACCAGCGGGGGATGCGTGAAATGGTAGTTGGAGGAGACTTTCTTAAGGGTTCGTGTTAGGAATTGGTCATCTTCAGGGGACTCGACGGGCCAAGGTAGACCACGCCAAGCGAGGACTCGAAATTGGTTTCGTTTTTCCTCGTGGAAATTTGGAAAAGAATTCTTCTACCGTTCGACCTATTTACGGAGCTCATACGGGTCTTTGCGGAATTCTCTAACCCTAACATAACGTTTAGGCGACAGCCTCTGTCATTTTTCATTTATCTCCGATTTTGCGCCCAGTCTCAATCATGACACTAATCAATACAGGCTGCTCGATGGCTGCATTGATGATCCACAACAGCTGTGGGCGAAACAGCTATCCGTCGAACTTAAGACACAGTATGCTATGCCACACCTGCAAAGCATAGTACCACTTTAAATTCAAGATTTCACAGTACGACCAGGTAAGCCAATTGGCTCACTCTGCTGATCCATTTGTCTGCGCCAGTTAACTCACAATAATAGTGCAATGATTTTCGCAACTAAGAAGAGAGCCATCAAGAACGAAACCAAATCCCCAACGCTGTTTCAGAGAGATCAGTGCGAATGTTCCGCACTAATCGGAATATTCGACGCGAAACCGGAGCTTCTTCCTAAACCTCTGGATAATGCAAACCCAAAGAACGCAGCTACTTGGACGAAAATTGTTAAAAAAATTTCTGCGCTGAAGGAGTACCTTGCGTTAACCACCGGGTCCGCTGGCTGCGAAGAAGGTCATCCAGCTTTCGGATGCGGCAATAAAGACATCCACGACGTGTCTAATGGACAGGTGCCTAAGGGAGAGCCGTTTGATCATCTGGCGGTCACTTTACCGAGAAATCTCGCCAACAAAGCAGGCTCAGTCGATCATTGGTAGTGTCTCGACCACGAATCGCTTCAACGCGACTTGGTTACGCCAGACAGGAAGCAAGCGAACACTTGGGCACCTGGTCGCCCTTTCCTCCCAATCTGCCGTGCAGAAGATTTTGTAGCGGGCCGTTTGCATCCAAAAAACCAACCCAACGTTCAGGCGCCTCTCTTAGGATCGCCAACCAGAGGGGCGAAAGTTGGACCAAGGCAGTTCTAGGGGAGAGGTGCGAAGCAGTTTTTCAGTTGGCCTCAGTTCAGCCGACCCCAAACTTATGGTAAAGCCAATTGTAGTTATAGTCTTCTGTGCCCCTGATAGCAGGCTGACGCAACCGGCCGTAACTCCGGATAGCAGTTTCTATTCAACCGCCACAGACCCCTCGGCTGCCAAAGGCAACAATTCTTTGGAGGAGGTAAACCCCACGTGGACGCAGCGCTCAAAGTACGTAAGGCTATCAACGCTTCTTTCCGTAACAGGCCACAGTGAACTGTACACTCAAGTCACAACTTCTGAGCTGGACTGAGTCAGACGTGCGAAGACAAGCGCCGAAACCTACCAACAAACCAACCAGATGTGTTGGCCTTGACATCGAAGAATGCTGTAAGAGCCGTACAACCACTGAGAATGTGAAAGTGCGAGGCCCCAGCTCCACTCAATGGACTCTTTGACTGTATACACATTTGTCGCGCGGGACCTTGACAGCCAGGGCAAAAACCTTGCCACAGCAAATGGAAAAATCCCTCGTACACCCAGTTGGCCATGCTGACCAGGGGCGACTTGGGTGTCGACAAAAACACGAAAAAAGGGCCACTGCAGCCAAAAAGGCCACGTAAGATTCGCCAACTCAGAAAACTGTCGGCTGCTTCAAGGCGCAGTCCTCTGCGAAAATGAACCTCATGGGAGCGCCAAAAAAGAACTGATTCTCGGTGCTGCCACCCAGCGCTCAGGGCCTCACAGAGAGACCTTTCAGATCAAACCGCGCTAAAGTGCCAGTTGATGCATCCTGCGAATCAATGGTGACCAGCGGTAATTTTTCTTGGTATCTGACTACTCATAAGTAACGTGACATATACCTGTTTATTATGATGTCGTTTTGTTACCTCGCTGCTTGTTTCCCTCGTGTTTCATTCCTACTCAGGGTCTGGTTACTCCTCAGTAACTGATGCCAATATTTTGTTGTCTGTTGGTCATTGCTTGCAAGTTCGTCTGGATTGTACTTATTTTCCACTCCGACGGAAAAGTGGACCGGCCGGGTATCCAACCCGGAGTTCGCGGACGGTAGGCAAACGCACCTGATGCCCGGAACGGTTTATTATTTTGTATCACACATGTACCGCATCTGTCAGACAGCTTTTGGCGAGAATCGTTTTAAGCGGACGAAACCGCGCAATCTGACTTGTCACGTGACGCGAGCAGCCGCGTCGCAATACCGACCGAAGGACAGTTCCTCACATCCCAGACGTACTGATTTCTGTGCCGTTCTCTCTATACAACCCACTCACACTATCAGACTGCGCTTATATGTATGTTTGTGCATCGTTTGGTGTTTACTTTTTGTTGCTTCTAGAAACCCCTGCTTTGTCAGT